TCGAGATCACACGAAAACAACAGATGCGCGCTGCATTTTATTCATCATCAGCTAATTTCAAGATCAAAGACCGCAACAGGGGCCCGTTCTTCGTACGTCGCTAACTCAGCTGGATTTTATTGTTGACGATTTGGCATGATCTTGGATTATTTGCTTGATCTATGACTATGCTTTACATGTTATAACAATAAAAAAAAGAGAGAGAAAAGAAAAGATAAGAAAAATAAAAATTGGCATTTTGACCCCCCTCTACAAAATAGCAGATTACTCAGTAAATATACATCCATGACTTTTAATATTTTGGCTTTCATAGCTATACATGTTTATCTTTCTTCAGAAAAATATTGACAAAATCTAAAATTTGAGATTTGTGGAGTTTGGTTGAATTGACATAGAATGACCCCATAGCAATGCACTGGGAATCACTCAGAAACACCTTAGCAACTCCATAGCAGTGCCTTGGCAACCAATCAAAACAGGCAAACTTCATAACAGTAGTTTTGCAAAGGCTTCCTAAAGGATTTGGTTCTTCGAAGCTCATCCTGGACTTGCTGTCATAGCAACAGGTACGTAAATTTAAACCTGCTCGGGAGCAGGCTTATTTGTTGAAAACAGGATTAGATTGCAACTTTTTAAGTTGAATTGATATTTAAAATCTATCCCAGCCACTGCTACTCTATTACATGAGTACCCTACTAATCCGGGGACAATAATTTTAAATAATAATAATTTAAAAATTAATTTGAAAATAATATTATAATGTTGTGTAATCTAATACTATAGGCACAGCCAGTTTTACTCAATAAATTTAATTAATGCTGTCACATAACAAAGAAAATCACCCTCAGAGCTTGTTTCTTCATGGGAACAGATTTGGAGAAACTTAGCATTACATCACTTGCTCACCAATGGATTCTCTGCAGTGAATCTCACATCAAAACCCACACATATATTTGTGTAGAACTGTTTTGACTATTTTGGCTAGTAAATGATGCTTGATCTGTGCATATTTTACTCCTGATTCAGACCAGATGACTTTTTTCACTGGGGAAAGTGTTATTATGGATTATGGACTTGTATTTTAGCTGGAAGGAACAGTTTCAAAATTAAAAATGTTAAAAATGTATAGATGGATTTGTTTCTTACAAACACACAGCTTTTCACTTAGCAAGATTTTCACTAATGGACTGGAGTCATGTATCTGCCCTTTACGGGGAACACAAGAACGCGCAGTAATCTTAGACAATTTAGATATTTTAATCAAATCCGCAAATACGTTTGAAGAACCAAATTAGCCAGAGATCAGTTATCTTCCTAAAGGCATGTAAGAATCCAGTTTTATTTGCTATTTGCAACTCTAGTATGCATGCAACACTACCTATTATTAAACAAATAGTTCACCCAAAAATGAAAATTTGCTGAAAAGGCTCATAGCAAGATTTTCACTAATGGACTGGAGTCATGTAGATTATTGTTATGTTTTTATCAGCTGTTTGGACTCTCATTCTGACGGCACCCATTCACTGCAGAGGATCCATTGCTGAGCAAGTGATGTAATGCAAAATTTCTTCAAATCTGTTCTGATGAAGAAACTCATCTACATCTTTGATGGCCTGAGGGTGAGGACATTTTCACCACATTTTCATTTTGGGGTGAACTATTCCAAATAATTTCTTGTAAACCATATTATAAATCTTACACATACAATGTTTAATTAATTTTATGTGGCTTATTACAGTGGCACAGGAGACTGACTCATTGGTTTGTTTGGAATATGTAACAGAGATGTATTGTGATGAAGCAAGACTTGCAAAGATGACCAAGATAGGTGAAATTGCAATGTTTCCGTTAAACATAAGATGCATGTTTACTATAATAAACTCACAATTCCCAACATGAGACCTAAAGCTTTTCAGCTTTTTAATTTTCTGCAGGGGTGTATTCCAGAAAGGAGGTTCAACAAACTCTGAGTTAAAACTTGAACTCCGAGTTGACTTACCCTGAGATTGGAAACTCTGAGTTTAAGGTTTCAGAACAGCTGAACAGAGTTAGCAAGTTTAGGCCACTTGCAATCCATATACAGCACCTCCCGAGTAGTTAATTCACTATGCAACACTACCTATTCTTAAACAAATAGTTCACCCAAAAATGAAAATTTGCTGAAAAGGCTCACCCTCAGAGCTTGTTTCTTCATGGGAACAGATTTGGAGAAACTTAGCATTACATCACTTGCTCACTAATGATAAACATGTATAGCAATGAAAGCCAAAATATGAAATGTCATATACAGTATGTAGCCTATATTTACTGAGTAATCCACAATTTTCACCTGAGATTCAGAGCCGAATTGCAGGGGGGTAAAAATTACTTTAAAAAGATGGCAGTATCATTGTTTTGTTTGTTTTTTTCACACAGAGATTGGTAGGTCTGTTAGTAAAATCTGTTGACTTCAGCAATCTTTGTTGCATTATATGCCAATGTTAAATGTTCAAAAATGGGAAAAGCCCTTTTAATTTTTTTCTCCAAAGTTTGCAGGCCTGTAACTTAAGAAATACTACAGATATCTTAATGCCCATTTAGATTTTGGGTTTTAACAAACTTTTCGTTTGGTATCTTTATAATAATTTGTGTTTATCTAGTTATGACTGTTGACAATACAAATATCCACCATGATCAATGGAGCTCCGATATTACGATTCACCATGGCAACAGCTCCCGCCAAAAAGACTTCCGCTACGGAATATGTAACATTAATTCTAAATTAATGTTATCAGAGGTGAAAACTGGCAGAAAGGTAATTTATTTAACTAATATTCATTTTCATGGTATCCCACAGGCAAAAAAAAAAGAAACACCTGTGGCTCAGTGGTAGAGCATTGCGTTAGCAGTGCAAAAGTTTGTGGGTTCGATTCCCAGGGAACACACTTACTGGTAAAAAATGTATAACCCGAATGCACTGTAAGTCGCTTTGGATAAAAGTGTATTTTTATTTATTTATGCATTTAGCAGACAAATATATATATATATATACGTAATCGTTCAAAGCGGCAATTAATCGTTCCAAGTCCACTTATGTTATTCTGCACACTTAAGATATGTTTTTCTTTTCTTTCTACATGTTATCTTAAGGGTTTTTCCATTGTTTTAGTTTTAGTATAACATTATAATACCATCCATATTTTAACTTTTTTATAATTTAAAGAATAAACCAATCCGATGTATACTTGACATTTGAGGCTTAATACTATAGAAAAGCACAAAAAAAAAAGAACAAGAAAAACTGGGTTTTTCACTTAGAGTGTTTTCAGCTTGTCAGTGTATATCTATTTCAATGTGCAGCAGCTTTTCCCACATAGTCTAATGCTTTTTTCACATAAATAAATGTTCTCTAATCCAACATTTGGATTGGCAAAACATTTGACTTCTATTCAGAAGCCAACAGCAAGAAGGCAGAGACTCGTAAAATGGGAGGAAAACCTTCACCAGCACCACTGACAGATGAAGAGGAGATGGCCACAATACCAATATTAAATTAAAATCCAACAGGGAAAAGAATAAGAAACTTTTCGTTTGGTATCTTTATAATAATTTGTGTTTATCTAGTTATGACTGTTGACAATACAAATATCCAAATAATAGTGTTCCTGTGGCTCAGTGGTAGAGCATTGCGTTAGCAGTGCAAAAGTTTGTGGGTTCGATTCCCAGGGAACACACTTACTGGTAAAAAATGTATAACCCGAATGCACTGTAAGTCGCTTTGGATAAAAGTGTATTTTTATTTATTTATGCATTTAGCAGACAAATATATATATATATACGTAATCGTTCAAAGCGGCAATTAATCGTTCCAAGTCCACTTATGTTATTCTGCACACTTAAGATATGTTTTTCTTTTCTTTCTACATGTTATCTTAAGGGTTTTTCCATTGTTTTAGTTTTAGTATAACATTATAATACCATTCATATTTTAACTTTTTTATAATTTAAAGAATAAACCAATCCGATGTATACTTGACATTTGAGGCTTAATACTATAGAAAAGCACAAAAAAAAAAGAACAAGAAAAACTGGGTTTTTCACTTAGAGTGTTTTCAGCTTGTTTATTTTCATATAAAAATACAGCATGCAGTTG